CTACCCTTCTTGACCGGGGGGGGGGCGAGGGGGGAAGAGGGAGAAGTGCACAAGCAAGTGCCAGGTCCTAGCTGCTGGCTGGGGTTAAACCACAACACTTGGGCTCCTCTCCTGCTGTCAGAGAGCAGAGCTGAACATACAACCACCCTTGTGACTGCCTCATTCCAGGTCCCAGAGCTTCTCCAGCAGCCCCTGGGAAGTCTGTAGAGCACCAAAACTGCAGGAATTAGAATACCACCTCCAGAAAGCTGCTATAGCCTGTTGCAGAAGGGGAATCCTTCCCTAACTTGCCCTGGCAGTAAACTACCAATTTTCATGGTTTTGCATTGAACTATTACTGACTTGGGAAGTAGTGGAAAAGGAGAAGAAATTGCCATCCAACCCAAGGACAGCAGGAAAGAACTGACAGCAAAGCTCACATATCAGATCAAGAAAACTACTCCAGTTAAGCCTGACTCCATGAAACAGTTTTTACTAGGTATTAATTACATGTAACTGCATGACAGACCTAAGTTACTCTGCATTCCTCTTCAGAACCCCAATTACCATTTATATTCCATAGGTCTGTTCCAAAACACTTCCTCCTCACAATTAATTCCTGAACTATACGTTTGCATAGTTTGATATGTTTGTACAGCATGATTTGAACATGCCTGCTTCTCCTTTCCTCATACCTGCGCATGCTTTATTCCTTTCTTCATTATTATCTGCAAAAGATGGATAAATGGACAAAAATTAAACTTGCCATTTTATCTGCAAAACTCAGCAGCAGAAAGAACTGGCCAAGGCTGTACAGCATAAAGAAGTTTCAGCTGATCTCCAGATTCTCAGGTATCAAGGAAAACCATCAGTCTCAGGTAAGTATTATGCCTGACTGGTGGGGGTGTGAAACAAAACACAAGAACTCTCCATTAATGTACACAAGCTTCAATAAAAAAAGCAGCATTCGATTTTATCACCACAGAAGATTAAAAAAAGACGAGTGAAAAGTTTACTGCTACTGCTACTGACTTGGAGAACCACAAAAAAAAAAAAAATAATCTACCATTTAAGCCAAGGGGTAGACTCACAAGGGTAACAAGAACATCAGAAGCCCTGTCACTTTTTTTTTCCTCTTAAATAACCTTTAAATATTATTTTGTAAGTTCCATACACTCTAAAAGCAGAAATCAGGTAAGAGAGGCAATGAAAGGTAAACTTCCAAAAAGCCAAGAGGCCAAAAGACAAAGCAGAAAGGTGGCAGTTGGCTAGAGGTAGAGTGATCCAGTCCAAGGGCATGGATTTATTCAACCTGCTTGGTCCTTCTTTCATTGAACTGCATCAAGAACCCACGCAAAACTTTCACTCAGACAGCCAGTACCCTCAATACGGGAAATACATGCATTTTAATTCTGATTAGCTATAGGGTAAAAGAAATATTATAGCACTAACTTGACAAGCTGCTGGACTTATTGACACGGCTACCTTCTCCTTTTTGTTAAGTACCTTGTTATGGCTATGTACAGGAGTTTTGAGTGTCTAAAATAGTTGAGAATATTTTAAGTACCATTTTATTGCAGAAGTATGCCTGTTAAAAAAAAAAAGCTTGACCTTAACCCAACTAATTTAAACTAAAATTTCACAATACTATTTGCAGTTAA